AATTTACTGTTTAAACGTGAAGGAATACATAGAAATGTACGTTTAAGGATATAAAGAACTATATTTAATGAGTTACAGTGAAAAGAAGTGCTTGGAAATAGTAATGTAAACAGAAATTAAAATTTTTCTATTAACGGAAAATATCAGGTAATGATACAGAAAATAGACTGTGAATAAACTGAATTTTCCGTTTCATAGCTGAAGGAAATATCCGTAAATAGTACAGAGAGTATGCTGTAAATCTACAGAATTTTCCGTTTTATCATTTACAGTAAAGTCGTCAGACTAACGTAAAAAAAACAGAAAATTACCAGGACATTTTCCGTTTTTCTACGGAATATTTTTTTACAGTGCACATTTCTAGTGACGTGCATGTCAGTTTACGCCATAGATCACAGTGTAGGGTTTACAAAGGTTTTAATAATAATAATAATAATGTGTATGTGTTAGTCCCCATAGGGAAATTGCTCCTCTGCATTTAACCCATTCACCCAGTGAAGCAGTGGGCAGCCACCAATGCAGCGCCCGGGGAGCAGTGTGTAGGGACGGTACCTTGCTCAGGGGTACCTCAGGGTAACCGCTCAGTGGAGTCGAACCCCCGACCTTCCGATCATGGGGCAACCACTCTACCTGCTGAGCTGCCCTTTGCAGGTGTAATGTAGTGAGGCATAGAGGGAGGTTAGCTTGAGCTGGCTCTTCAGTGGTTTCTATGAACGCCTCTGACCTCGGTTGCACTCGTGGTTTCATTCATTTCTGCCTGCTCCGTACACAACTGCTGGAAGTTTTAGAAACAAGGGTATTCATCAGTCAAGTGTTGAACCAAAACTCATAACACTGATCATTTAATCCAGAGCTGTTGGGGTTTGTCAGGTGTACGAGGAACAACTTCCAGTCAGACACACACTGAGGAATTCATCAAAAACCTTCTGTTCCACAAAACGGTCTTTCAACATTTCGGGGAAAGTTTCGAGTTTTACTGGCCTCAAGTTTAAAAATGTGAACAAATGCAAGCTTCAGGCTTTTTTTCCTCTTTTTTTTTGGTCCTTCTTTAGCTCACAGCCCAGAAAAACGATGTGGCGCTGCTGGATAAGTCTCAGCTTAATTGATGTCTCTCCTACAGAGATACACATTTGGGTTATGTCTTTTTATTATTTCTTCATCTCGCCAACGAGTTCAGTCCAATTTTCTTGGATATCACGCTGTAACAATTAAAGGCTTTAACTTTAAAACTGGCAAATGAAGTAGAACGTGGCGCACTTATCACAAGACGCCCCGCTATCCTTTCTGCCAACTATCCGAGACAGGAAGAGAAGGGGAAAGGGAGAATATTTCTCCTTGGATAAAAGCGGGGAGAAAGTGGAGCTGAAACTTTTTCCGCACCATTTGATGTCTGAAAGCAGTGATGCAGCGATTGATTCATTAAACCGGAGCCGTAATGAGGAAAGAAATCATAATTCAAACTTACATTTTAAACAGGAAATATAATTGGAATTTTATACAGAGGAGTCCCTTTGTACAATTATGATTAAAGGAAAATTAATTGTATGAAAATGTCCTTATAGATACTGAAAATTAGATCTAGCAAAGCTCCAGCGACACGGACCTAATTCTAAAAATATTGTGTACAGGATCGATCATTTTTTTCCCCCCTTGTCTTTCTCCTCTTTTTTTTTTATAAAACATTTTTTATGAAGGTCCAAATCTAGCTGTGTTAATTTTATCTGAAATTAGAGTGAACCATGCAGGCGTGGAAGTTGAAATTAGCCTAAAGATGTTTCATTTACAAAGACAGAAACACTTTGTCAGCCGGCGATTGTTTCCCAGCATTATCTCTGCCTGCTTTTAATTGCTTTGGTGAGTGAAATTAACAGAATTAGAAAAATTGCCTCTCCCTTTTTCTACAAGCTTCTTTATTCACGGGTATTGTTGTGTGCTTTGTATAGATTATAGACTCCTTTTGTTACAGTATTGTAAATATATACGCCCCCAGTCACGGCTTTAGCTCCGAAACAATCCCTCTTGCTCGTTCGACACAACCTAATGAAAATTAATTTACAACCTGTCTGGATTGAGGGAGAAATGAAAGCGGGGGGAAAAAAAATCCTGGATTTTTTCTCTTGGTATTAATGTCAGGCTGATTTAGTTATTCCGAACCAATGTGCCCACCCTCCTTGACTTTCCAGGACATCGTCGTGTTTTCTCCCCTGGCGTTCGGCGGCATCTTAACCATTTCTGCCTCACTCTGCCGCTCGTAATCCTCTTAAAAGAAACGCTCGCCCCCGGTTAATAATTCAGTCGTGGCTACCTCTCGGGGACTGAGAACGAAGCGTGTCATCGGATGCAGACGAGCATTTCTGACGCTCACGGTTGAATGTGAGCATATTTCAGGGTTTGGAGCTCTTAACGTGCCGTTCAATCGTTCATCTTATAGTCAGAATATTATTAATGAAGCAATTTTAAAAAAAAGTCACATTAAATCCATATTAACTCACTTCATTTTTTGGATGTAATCTTCAAACGGGCTAAAATAGATCAAAAGTACTGTATAATTACTGTGGTCAGCAGGGATTATGAAACTGTAATTGATACAGATCAGCCCTGCACTAATCACTCTTTTAGCTGCAATTTTAGGTATACTGTAATTTGGCTTTAAGGTCCCCCTTGGCTTCTTGGCTATTAATCTTCTGGATTAGACCGTTCAGCGTGTCCAATTCTTGAAACCGTTTTTCAATGAGTCCAGTAAGTGGGGCTGGGGGGGCATATCTCTGTGTTTAGGGTATTTTCTTCCTTCCTGTCTACATACATCCGAACAACCATACGGAGCCTGTTAAACATCATTTTAATTTCCACTTCTCCTGCAACTCTCGAGGCCCTCGGGAAGACGATAAAGCCTCGGGGGGTGTTATTGTGTGACTGCAGACACATCTCCTGAGTGGTGTATTTTACAGACACACTTCAGGGCTTCTGTCACGCTTTGGCCAGCGAGGTAGGGGGTCACAGATCCAGTCTGAAGGAGTTCCACTGAAAAATCGACCCATTTTGTTCTGCCGAGTAAGAAAAGCGTTCCTGGAAATAATTTTTGTCTATTCCGCTCATGTCCAGTACCATATTTAGCACTGAGTAACTCGTCTGTCTGATACTGATTGCTTTAGCTCCTCCCCCTTTAATGTGGCACTGTTTAAGTCTTTTAATTGGCTGCAGAGCTCAGCGCCAGTTAATTAGTTTCTATTACTTTTATTCCTCTTATTTGAGGCCAACCAGCATATTTAAGCAGATGTTGTAGATTAGACTCGATGGACACATTCAGTTGTTGATTAGCCCTCTCCTCTTCCCCACAGGTTCTCTTGGGGATCTCGATGGCGGCGAGGAAAACACACCGGACAACCTGAGCCTATCGGGAGAGGAGGGCGGAGCCTCCGACCCAGACGATTCTGCAGAAGGCGACAGCTCCAGTCCGCCTCCGTACACACCATTGTACAACGAAGGTGAGAAGAAGAGCGAAACATTGAGCTCTAACAGAGGATAGTAGTACAGACGTTGGTTTAGTGTGGTAACCATGCGCTTTTCAGTTGGTTTTTTTCTTTTTTGCAAGGTCTAATTTCCAGTTTTCCTTCATTTAAAATGTGAAAAAGAAAAACGAGCAGCAGCAATTAGTCTGAAACGTTTGATTTTTAAGTGATCTCTCTTTAAAACCAGCAGATGTTCATGCCCGGTGAAACAAAGAGCTCGGGACAAGTGACAAACTAGCATCGCTGCAAATGCAGCTAAGCCATTAGGACAGTTAATGTGTTACAAAAGTCTGTTTCACGACAGGTAACCTACAAATGAATTATATTTGGAGAGCCATGCAGAGCTGCAGGCTGTGGTTCACGTGGACTTGTTGTACGTGCATGAAGATGGCGTTCTCAGCACTGACTCACACGCATCTGTTGTTGCTGCAGGTTGTTCAAATGATGGAGTAATTCTATCTTTTTTCAGTATAACATTAAAAAAAGCTGCTGAATCCTAATTTTCATTTGATACATTGTATTAAAGAGATATTAACTTAAGATCTACTTTCTATATTTTGATTCTAACCACATGTCTGTACCATAAATATGTGTGTAGCTTTAAAAACGGACTGAAGATTCAGAGTTCCCTTAGTTAGCCTTTCAAAGACCTTCATGCATTAACACAGGGGTGTCCCTGATCCTGCCCATTCTACTTTACGGCGCAGAGACGTGGACGATGCTCAAACACGACCTGAGCAAGCTCGAAGTTTTCCAAATGCGTTGCCTTAGATGCGTTCTCGGCGTTTCCCTTCGCGACCGTCATTCGAATGACACCATCCTCACCAGCTGCGGCAGCCAACCGACGATCGGCGACCTAATTCCGTTGATTTGGCCACATTTGTCGACTGGACCCGAGCCGCTACCCCCATGGCCTACTCTGGTTGACCCGCCCCACCGATTGGAGGGTGCATCGAAATGCACCAAAGAAGACATGGATGAAACAAATCCAGGATGATTTGAAGGCCCTTCGACTTGACCTCGAGCAGGCAAGAACCATCGCCTTCGATCGAAACGCGTGGAAGATAATCGTTGGTCAAGCAAGAGAACTTGCGGCACCTACAGCAGCGTACTGGTTGCGCGGCAGACCACCGCCGCTGGTCGCCCGCTAAGGACAAGAAGAAGAACACAGGGGAGTCAGCATCGGCCTGGCAAAGACTCCAATACGTAGTACTGCCCTGGACATGACTGCAAAATGTAGAAGTGTATTATTCAAGAGATTTGTCTGTCGTACACACACAGGGTTTTTCCACAGATGCTACAAAGATAATCTGCTGTAGAACTTTCACTTTCTGCCAGCAGATCAGCTCTGCACACAAACACGTCATCGGCCTTAGCAAAGGTTGCAAAAAAATCTGTTCTCACTCATTTTTTAAAATATTTCTATCACATTTTGCACAATATCAGCGGCACACTTACAACATCCGTCAACAGCGAGCTCCTCTTGAAGTAAAATAATCCAGATATGCAGTTTACTGGCAGTTATTAGTGGTTATTAGCAGATTAATCTCTTCATCAAGCCGTTCTTTAATCGACTGACGTGTACCTGTTATCTGTCTGCAGACGTCACCCAGAGACAATGCAAAAACTCTGCGGCACCATTTGGAGGTTGCAGCTTTCCACACACGTGTCACTCTTTTATCTCTAATATGGATAACAGATAAAAAAGAAGAAGAAGAAGAATTCTGTTGGCTTCAGTGAGTCCGCCCCTGTCGTGCACCTCTTATCCCGAGCCTACCCCCCCGCCCCCGCCGTGTGATAGCAGAGTTTTTCAGTCATATTCTTTTGACTTATTCGAGATTTCACCAGCTGTGTTTTTTTAATCTCAAAAATTCCTGCTCTTGTGAAATTTTGGGGGCTGCGAGTGATAAGCGTCTGCTGGTTGGCTCGGTTTGATAAACCCATGGAAATTCTGTCAGGTGCTAATCGAGACGAGATTAGAGATTAGCTCCAAGACTGTGTGCGCGCGTGTGTGTGTGTGTGTTTGAGTTGAGGGGTGGGTTATGTGTGTAATAGATTGTATAATACGAAGATGAGGGAAGTCAGGCATACGGCACATGTGAGGAAGTTTCTGTCCATGGCAACCTTGCTTTGTGTACTTGTTTCTCTGTTTTTTTACGTGTTTTTTAACCCTTACGTGCACACACACACACACACACACCTTCCCTCTCCATCACACTGTTGATTTACTCCCCTCTCTCTTCTCTGGGGTTCCTCAGTTGCCCAGCGCTGCCATTATCAGTTCTCTGTAAATCAGCCATGTTTGACGAACCTGCTCTTTCAACCTGGGATCAATACCAGGTCGTTATCTGGCCAGCGCTGGCTAATAAAGGCAGGGCCTCTTATCCACCATCTGGAAGAGAGCGAGAGAGAGAGAAAGACACACACACAGACACACACACACTGGCGATAACCGCCCTGATAACTTTAGCAAGAAAAACACATTCTAGCAGTAACAGGACCGAGCACTCTGTCTTTTCAACCTGACAGCCAGAGCCAGTAATATTAATGCTGATACAAAGGAGCGCTGCACACAGACACACACTTGAGCATCTGTTTGGTACATTTCTCTCAGTTGTGGTGATTTTTTTTCTCCCTTTCCCTCCTCTCTCTTCTCAGAATTGCTCTACAGTTGCAGCGACCCACAGAAACGAGCAAAGTTCCTTTTTTCATAACAAGGCAATCATTTTTATACATCACAGGAAGCCCGATAACATCCACTTCTGGGCTGATAAGGAAGTAATGTTACCTCCTTTTGACCTCTAATTGTCATGCCCTCATTTGAGCCAATCAGAAGGATTTTTGTAAACTGTTTTTTTTTCCTTCTCTTCTTTTCATCAGAATCTGATTAGCGCCGATAGATAAAAGTGTGTGTGATGCATAAACCGACGTAACGGAGGCGGCGTTCTCCTCTGGTTTCATTTCGAGGAACGGCTCGGGGCGTTTACAAAAACTAACTTTCAAAGGATTGAAAATATTTTAACCATAAAGATAAAGTTGATCGATGCGTGTCAAACAGACAGAAA